AGGCACATTAAATAACAGAGGTAATCTTAGTAAGACAGACACTTTGTAGTCACATAGCTGTGCAACAGCCATCCTGCTTTGAAGAGCTCCTTAGTGAATGGTGGGAAGAGTGAAGTTCTGAGTATTTTCTAATCCTTCCAAGTTACTGATAATTCAGTTTTAGTATTTGAGCCATTATAGCCTTCCTGTTCAGTTTCTATAGAAGTCTTTTTTTTTCCAAAATACTTTTATTAAAAATATAATTAAAAAACCACAAACCCCACCTTTCTTTTAAATAATACGGCATGGAGCAGTTTGTTTTCTACCCTGTGGCACGTGGTCCAGCCTGGTTATGAATTAGGAAGCTGCTGGGACTGGGGTCCTGCCAAGGAGTTAGGGTTCAGCCTGCGGAAGGAAGCCAGCCCCCCTACACCCTTGAGGTAAAAGGCAGAGCCTGGGTTTCCATAGCAACCAGGCAGCCCATCCCTGTCCTNTTTTTTTCTTAAAATGTGTATACATTTTTTTGGCACCCTCTGTATATATAAATCATGTATATATTATTTCAATATGGTTTATAAATTTTGACTTTTACTTGCTAAAACAAAAATGTAGGACTTTTAGGGCATCCTTGATTTATAGAGAAGATGATGGATTTCACTTTTATATACAGCATGGTAAAATGCTAAATTAGGATGTCAGGCGAGATAGGTCATTCCGACTTCAGTTCCTTTCACGTGAAGACCAACTAGCAACCATCCATAAACAAGACAATTGTGAAAAATCTCAGAACACTGAGGTGAGGCTAAAATACTCATTTGGAACGTAGCGACTGAGAAGGACTGCATTAAGAAGGGCAAGAGGAACAGCCACACTCTGATACCATCACTCCTTCCCCAAGCTGGTACAGAGTGCACCAGGGCCTACAATTTCTCTATTGGGCAAAAGAGAGCCGAAGGTGAACATCCAGCTTGCCCACCATTGTGGGTTGCTTCCCAGAGTCCCACTCGGGTCTCACTTCATGGGGATTTGAGGGTGAATCTCTAGGTATCAACCACTGGAGATCAGACTGTGACAGAAAAAGGGTGACGGCGCTTACAGCAACCAGCACTGAGGTCTTTGTAAACTGAGTTTTTCCTCAAACAAGTGTCCAAGTAGATTCCATCCAACAGCTGTGTTTATCTACAGAATCAAGCTATAAGGTTAGGCCCTCACCCAGAAAAGAGACTCCTTAGAACAAGCCCCACCTAGCCAAAGATGGTACCTGCTGACCTGTACAAAACACCGAGCTTAGCTGACTGACAAAGAGCTGTCTCCACCAAAGTAAACCTGAAGAAGAGACCATTTACAAATGCACAGATACCAACACACAAAAACACAAGGATCACAAAAAAATCAGGTAGACTGACACCACCAAGACAAACTAATAAGGCTGCAGTAACTGACCCTAAAGAAATAGAGATCTATGAACTCTCAGACAAAAAATTCAGAATAATCCTCTTACAGTTTAGTGAACTAGAAGAATACACAGAAAGACAAGCTAAACAAAATAGGAAAAGAAAATAATGCATTAGCAAAACAAGAAGTTCAACAACGAAATAGAAATCATCAAAACAAATTCTACACCTGAAGAATACAAGGACAGAACTGAAGAATTCAATAGAGAGGTTCAACAGCAGACTTGACTTAGCAGAAGAAAGAATCAGTGAGCTAGAAAATAGGCCATTTGAAATTATCTAGCCAGCGGAGAAAAAAATGAAACAGTGAAGAAATTCTACGGAACTTGTGGGACAGCATCAGGAGAAATAGTATCTCCATTATGGAAATCCCAGAAGAAAAAGAAAAATGGAAAGTATATTTAAAGCAATGGCTGAAACTTTCAAAACCTGGGGAGAGATATGGACATCCAAATTCATGAGGTTCAAAGGATCCCAAATAGATAGAAACCAAAAAGGGCTACACCAAGACATACTGTAATTAAATCATTAAAAGTCAAAGACAGGTTCCATTTCAAGGTTGCAACATAGGAAATTTCTGAAATCACCTCTTTCCATGAACACACCAAATCTACAGCCACCTATGGGACAATTTCCTCTGGAAAAGAAAACTCCTACACATCAGGTAAACAAGGAAACACCCACATCAAAGTGGGTAAGAGAGGCTGAGACACAATCTTACCATAATCCCCCACCTTA